CCGATACTGAAAACCGCACCTTTTTAGCTGCTTCTTAGAAAAAGTTATCAAAGAAATGGCCGTGCTTCTTCTTTTTTGAAATGGATAGTAGTCGAAACATATATCATTCGACCCAGTTTTCGACCCTGATTTCGAATATGATAATTATAATGCATAACAACTGAGCTCTAATACAGAAAAGCGCGATTTACGGGCGAAATTCCTATTTTGTCGCCTCTCATTTGGAAAAAAATAGGTATTCTCAGTAGGCAAACAATATTTTAAAAAAGCGATGCGTACTTTTGTTCGCCTTCAAATGGTGATTCGAATGGCGTATGATGATCGGATCAAATCAAAACCAAGGAGGAGATAGGTTTGCGAGAGAGGTAGCTCATTGTGTCGAGTGCTTACTCTTGTCAAAATTGTGAAACACAGGTATTTTGTGTTTTGTGACTCAAAGGTGAATGATTAGACTCAGTTTTTGATGGGGAATCCAAATATATCAAATTCGAAAAGTTATAGTGAACGAAAATCAACAAATCTCAAGTTTTCTCAGAGTGATGCAAATTTTTCGTTTTTTCGGTACTCTTAGTATTTTGAGGATTTCTCCCCGAAAACGTGATCGAATTCGAATAAAAAGGTCAGCTCAGGCAGGGCTATCTGAATATGTAGCTTTCGACCAAAAGTTAAGCTAGTGCTGCATTTTTGAATTGCGGGCACCTTATGAAGTTATTACTTTTTAATGATCAGTGGCCCTGCAGGATAGTTTTAGCCTAATAGGCTAGTTATGACCCAAATGGATCATGAGTGCTGTGATTGAAACGGATCCAAAACGGTCCGTTCTGGTGACAGATTTATCACCATACTGACAGCAATTATTGAGATTAATTCAGATTTAAAAAACGATATTTTTACAATATCATGGCTCTCGCCCTATAGGAGTGGTATCTTTCAAATTTAAGTTCTATCATACACTAACTCTTATGGTAAATATTACCAAGTTTTACTAATTATAAGAAAAAACCTAGTATTTTTTCTTCAGTGGTTAAATTAAACGAGATAAGCAACCTGAGAATATAAATATTTTCAAATTACAACCTCTACAAAATATTTTTATCACTAAGCTATATTAACTTTTGATATTCAAAGTAGGGTTTACTTTCTTTATCCAGTATGATTCCCGTGCTTTTCGATGATCCTCATTAAGATAACCTGTCTCAAACGGTATACTCATAACATCCCGAATGGAATGATTCTTCTGGCTAAAGTGTAACCCCCACTGTTGAGGTCCGTCGAACTCTGATTTGGGATGTATGCCCAAAAAAAACCGTTCTCGAGCTGATGCTCCTGTTTCTTCAATTTAATCCTCCCCACATCGCTTACATAGGTTATGGAGAGAAGAGAGTGTCAGCTTATTTTTTGTTTCGGCCGCCGTTTGACAGGGAACGATTTTAGTGAGCTCTGGTTGAGACATTCTAATCAGAGCACCCCAAATATGTACGTAGAGACGCTTTTCTGGATAAAATTTAAGAAAAACTTTTCAACATTTCCCAATCCCCCATTCATGGAAAACGTTTTCTTGATTATCGTTCTGAATTCTGCTAACTATGTTGAATTCATCAGTTTCCAACTTATTTAACGGACATCTTTTCAGAAGTAAGAATGTGTAAGTGTGACAAAATAACGCCTTTTCCAGGAGTTTATGCAAACACAGCTAAAATTACGAATCGATTTGAATGGCTGACTGCGAGGTTTTTCAGATTGGTTTCACCGCTTATAACAGCATTCAAGGAAATGAAGTAAGTTACCATTACTGTCTCATATAATCATTCAGCAATAAAAAAAGAAGAAATTAGGATTACTTGATAACTATAAGCAATAAAAAAAGCTGTCAGTGAACTAGCCGCAACATTCCTCACTACTTATTGTTGCAATACGGTTGATAAGGTAGTGCTTCCGAATAAGCTAGACAGTTATTTTCAACCAATGACGGGCATGTGCAATGACTACTCAAATCAGTGTTTATCTCATTAGCACAAAGCACACGACAACGTGTACATAACTGAACTCGATGAACGCTATACAGCGCCAATAATCCACACTGATCGTTTATAATCTCTGAACAACCACTTCTAACCCAGTTACCTACAAGGTCGTAATCTAAAAGAAAGTGCGGCAAAAAATGACTTAGATAGTATACCTTAAGAAACAAATCTGAACCTACTTTTGAATGTAGTTTGACCTCCACCAATGCCATTCTGTCGTAAAGCTACAACACGCAGATCCCCTGTAACCAAATTTCTTTCATATGAAACTGATACTTCTGTAGTCATATCAGTAAGAGAATTTGACTGTAATGCACAGGCAGTCATCTTGGTTTTAAATGCACAAGAGGAGGCTAAAAGTTCTTCTTGCGTTTGACCCGAACCACAAGTATCAATATTTCGAATAAGGACAGGAATGGGAGCTGTTGGATTTGATATCGTCGAAGAAAGTGTTAAATTACCAATCTGAGTTACTCTCCACAGGATCAAATTAGCTGGAATATTGTTGAGTTTTCGCTGTTCAAATACTTTATTTACTTGTTCTTGTCGATCTTCGTTGGCATTATTAATTCGTCTGATGATTGCTCCCTGTAAATTCTGTTTCACAGATGGGTTTATTACAATATCAGCCCACGAAACATAACGTTTAACAGAGATCATTGCAGGCGCATAAGCCAATGTACGAAACCACTCATTTGTATCTTGAATCAGGTCAACATTTCCACCTATACGATGATCACTAAATGGTTTTCGCCATTTATGATAATCTTCACTGATACACGGACGTTTCGAGAGAAGTTCCGCTTTAACGTTCAACCGTGCTGCACTTGAATTTAAACATTTTTGAAACAGGATTTGTTTTTCAGTAACACCACCAACTGTTGTCTCAACAGCCACATGAGTTCTCCAGGCGTTGAAAAATGCATTGTAGAGATCCTCATCATAGGCGGCAGTTAGTACATTTATTGCACTATGAGCATATGAGTTCAAAGGTAGGAAAGTAGGATCATCAATCGCTTTAACACGTAGATTATAGAGTTTACTATCGTTCTGAGCAATGGCAGTTCCTTGATCATCTAAAAATACGTCGAATCAATATCCGAAATGTCTTGAAGATTGGAGAGAAGACTTGTAGACCAGTCACCATCAGCTCCTAGATGTAACCATGCATCTGTGAATTCAGTTGGGGTGGAATACGAACTGACATTGACATTGAGTGCATCGTCATTCAACGGTTTAAGACTAACTTCATTCGGCAAGATAAAGACGGGACCAGAAAGCGGATCTTTCCATAGAGAATCAGGTGAAGGAGAGAGAGGATAGGTGAGTTGCAAAGCTGGCAAAAGAACCTTTCCAGTGCTGAAGTCGATAGCCATACCAACACCTTTTGGCAAATTTCGCTGTGGCAAGAGTGATAGTGCTTTAGGGGCGACCAACGAGTTGGTGAAACTGGTATTCCAAGCTGGATCACCTGGACAGAACGTTCCGCGAAACCCAACAACTGGACAGAGAATTTTTCGTACTGCTGTCAGATCTAATGCAAAGTTCGTAATAGCACGTTTTCTCCGTCGTGCAGTTGAAGTACAATCTAATTTCGGTAGAGGTAGTGGCTTTGGATGTGTTTGTAGACGTTGGATATACAGATTTCCAACTGCAGCTGCTTGTGAACGAAGGTAATATGTTGCATTTTTCATTGCTTCTTTTTTATCACCTTTTCGAAGTAGTGTGTAAATAGGCAGACGACGATAGTTGATCGGTTGTGGATAGTTTTTAAGTGTTGAAATCCAAGCATTAATAACATAGGGCTGAACTGAGAAGGCTTCACCTGGATTATTATCAATGCCACCAATCAGTTTTGACATAGATGAACTATATTTTTTGTAGATTTGATCAACATTCATTGTATAACTTTCTGAATAAGTTTTATCACCAAAAAACCAATAACTTCTTCTCACTTGCTCCTTAGCCCATCTTTCACTGTACTTTGTAATTAAACATCCTTCAAAATAATCTTCCACCCACAATAAACCACCCATGTCCGAGCTGGTAACAAAATGTGTTCCGTAAGCATGGAAGAACGCTTTCCATTTTTTGATATTTGAAATGGAGCCGTTATCAAATGTGTCGGGCAGTTTATGAATAGCTAGTTGGGTCACGTCATTGAATTGTGGAGTTGGAAACGTGGTTAAGGAAAGTGTGTACATTGAGATTTGTCTTCGTGTCCAAGCCATTTGATACTTATTGTCGTAGAACTGACGGTATTTCTCAATAATATCTGTACGTTTTGATGTTGCTCCGAACCCAAAGAAGCCATCATCATCTTCTTGTATACTGTAGATAGACATTTGAAAGAATTCGTCAAGTGTCTTGAAGAATCTGCTTTCATACATCGCATTGACCTCACGTTTATCTGAGACGAAGAAATTGGGTGGGATCGTGTAGGTTTTATCATTGTTATAGACGTCGATCCACGAAGAGGTAGTGTTTGTGTCCGTCGATAGGTCAAAGAGGCATTGACAACTTCCAATACCACCAATGTCAAATCCACAGCCCACAACATCGAGACCTAAAATTGGTTTGACTTGATCGAAATTGATGAGACCACGTTTCTTTCGTCTGAAGTTGCTGCTTAATACTTGATCTAACGTTGGGACGACTCCGTTGAGAAGGTAGTAATAATGGTAGCCTGCAAGTGCTTTTGAACTTCATCTGGATAGTCGAGGAGAAGATGGACGAGAGGAGAAAGTGTGCGGTTGACAACTGCTGGAGCAGATAATGTTTGATTCTTCCAAACGTTCCACTGTTGTCTTTCATTCTGTGGTGAGATTACAACAGCAGGAAGGTTCGTTCAGATTAATCATTTTCAGCGCGTCAAATCCAGTGGCTAGAAAATCCAATCCTGGAAGTTCTTTGGTTAGTACAGGCCCAATATGCGTCAACAGAAACAGCAGACAGAAGTAAGAGTTCATCATCTTATTCTAAAAAAGAAACGAAAGTAATGGCTTCTGCAGCGTCACACTTAGTGTCGTTTCGACTATGCACATTGAGTGAGATGCTTTTGATCATTAGATTTCTTAAAGATCAATGCTTTTGTCTTTCAAGACCTTCTGTTTCACCAATGTATTTCTATATAATACATAGTCACATATATCACTTCCTTTTCTTTTTAAAAAGAAAAATACACCTCAGTGGTCATTTTTTCAAGTGCAGGTGATTTCTCTAATCGTTTATCAAGCATCCATAGATAGACGTCTTATTTAACTAGCGTAACTCGCTGAGCACGAATATGGCATTATCTTCTAGAAAAAGCTTGAAGTTGCCGTTGTTCAGCCTTACTTTTAAAATGGGCTTAGTGCATAATACGATAAAAAAACACAACACTACACAGTTTACTGGAACAAGCTTCTTCGCCATTTGTCGTTGAGAGGATACAAAAGAGACTTGATAGAATGGCAATAGTATGACAGAGCATTTTTCTAAAAAAATGTTGATGATTTTCAAATCAATAGAAATATTTTGTTGGAAGAAACTAAAGAATAACACTGAAGCTGAAAAAATGTTTATATATGTTGGAAAACGGAACTCAGACTGAAAATTACAAAATAAATAAACTCAAATTTTCTTTTTTCGTTCTTCATAGATTATCACTAATTGTACAGAAATATAAGCCCTTTGGCATGAGGTTCATTAAAAGAACGAGAACCTGACTAATATGGTATTGAATATTTAAAATAATATTTACCGAAAAAACGAAAAATACTTGAAACATAATTCTGCTTGAGTTGATCGAAATTATTCATGTGATTCTAATTTTTTCTGTCGAATATTCAGAATAGTTTAATGGTTCAGTCAGTTCGTCTAAAAGAATATCGATGTTCTTCACAGAATATCACTAAACACTGTGACTGCTAGTTAAGTTATCAGAAATGTTTTTCAAGCCAAGTGAGGTAATTTTTCAAACTGGGGTCAAGTCAAGTCATGGGACACGTTTCTGGAGGTTATCTCATTATCTCATAATAAAAGATAACAAAGAAAGTTGGTCCTAATCAAAGGAAATTGACTGAGAACAGTGCAGTGATGGGAAAGTTACGTCATTTTTGACTTGATTTAATGTGAGCTAACCTCCAGAAACGTGTCCCATGACTTGACCCCAGTTTGAAAAATGACCTCACTTGGCTTGAAAAACATTTCTGATAACTTGACTTGAAATAGCTAAGACCAGCACGTCTCTGGAATAGTGTTTTTTTGGAAGCTGAAAAATGTGGCATTTTCCATTTCAATACTAGTATAGGGACAACAACACTTAGGTACTTTACCCAAAAGATGAAAATAATTGACACATCAATGTGTGTCAGACTTGTTTTTTTGCCACAACAATGTCAGCTGAAGCGAAACGTTGTATTGATCGAGTACGCTTTTCTGAAGATTGTAAGTTCTAACTAGGACAATCTCGTAGGATAATGCTAACTGAGGGATACTTGTAAATATAAAAATGTATATATTTTCATCTTGTGGGTAAAGTATCTGAAGTGTTGTCACCAAACACTGTAAATATTGTTTAGTCATTCTATCGGAAATAAGTATGATAGAATTCATATATTTTTGAAGAAAAAAAAAATGTATTATGTTTGTTCATTTGTTCTGGCGTAAGCATTAAACAATAGTGAAGTCGTTAGTAAATAAAGTGCTTTAAAGAAAATGCTTTTTATTTACTGTATATAAATTCTACTGCTGACTGAATGACATACACTGCAGGCAATGTTATTAAATAAATAATTCAAGGCTAAACAACAAATAGTTAGACAGTTTTCTCTTTATCGTTCCTCAACCGAATGTCCTGTGAACTCAGTTTCTGAAGTGTTTGTCTGAGTGCAGCGAAATTACGTATAACAAGCATTATCTGCGTCGCCCATATTGGGGAAGTCAAGTCATTTTCAAGTCGAATCAGACCGTCGCAAAACTGACTCTGACTAGACTTGCTCAACCTTCAAAAATCATGGCCGTCTTTTTCGATTTCTGTGCGATGAAAATTCAGATTTGCAGTAAAACACCGGTCACGCGTTTCTTCTGTGGCGACGAAACCATAATGCAAGTATCCCAAGGTGTAAAGATCTGATGAAGAAGCCTTAAGATTTTCAAAAGATTTGCTTAGTTAACTCAGAAATGACGTGACCCTGACTTAACTTGCGCATAATAAAAGATAACAAAGAAAGTTGGCCCTAACCAAAGAAAGTAGAGTGAGAACAGTGCAGTGATGGGAAAGTTACGTCATTTTGGACTTGATTTAATGTGAGCTAACCTCCAGAAACGTGTCCCATGACTTGACTTGACCCCAGTTTGAAAAATGACCTCACTTGGCTTGAAAAACATTTCTGATAACTTGACTTGAAATAGCTAAGAGCAGCACGTCTCTGGAATAGTGTTTTTTGGAAGCTGAAAAATGTGGCATTTTCCATATCAATACTAGTATAGGGACAACAATACTTAGGTACTTTACCCAAAAGATGAAAATAATAACCTTCCGTCTTTGGTCCCCCGTGTAAAATCATAATGATTTCATCTTTGACAATTTGGCCTTGCTTGTCAACAGAATAGACTTTATCACCACTACGTAGATTTTTCATTTGTTTTTGAGAGCCATCTTGTAGCGAAACAAAATCATCGCCAAATACACATTCTCTAATAGAATGTCGAAAGCAAAAACAATGTGAGCTAAGACCACGGAAATGAAGAAATTGAAGCTTTGCGTCACACAAACGTTGCAAAACTAGAAACTAGATGCGAATTTGTTCTGTCCATTTGTCACGTTTTCAGATTTTTCCACTACGGCTCTTGAGAGTATTGAATTCTACAACAAGATCTCCTAGCTTGATAAAGCAGTTACTCTATCCATCAGCGGTAATCTGATAAGTTACATCCTCGTGCTATGAAGTTTCTTATCACTAGCCTTTCTTACGTTTCTCAGCTTACCTGTTACAAGCAATTCCCCAATTTGCACAGCTTCCATCACTACAGCATTTTTCTGAACAACAACCACCTCCACAACAATCTGAACCTGATGGACAACAGCGTCCACCACCGCAACAAGTTGAACCTTGTCCACAACAGTTACCGTCGCAACAAACATCACAACAATTGTCTCCGTCTTGAAATAAGACCTCACTTGGCTTGAAAAACATTTCTGATAACTTGACTTGAAATAGCTAAGACTAGCAGGTCGCAGTGTATATAACTGAGCTGAAATTGCATAAGTATATCAGTTAGGCTCGTAATACTGGTGGCAAATGACATCATATTCTCAAATTATGTCTTTTCTTAGTCCCACTATATAAACTCTTGCGAAAATGGATGGTATCCAGGTGTTTATAACTTAAATAGCACCACCGATATACAATAGCATAGATTAAATATGCATCTTTTTTTCTCTCTTCGAGATGTATTGACAAATGGTTAAACTTTTAATATAAGTCCGAATTCGCCATGAAAATAAAGATTTGTACATTTTTTCTACTGCAAAGTTATTTTTCTTTGAAAGTTGCCGGCCGTTACTTCTCTTGTTCAGTTTTTCAGAAACTCTAAACAATAACCAAAACCTTTCTTAATGAGGCAAATTTCTGATTAAACTGAGACACCTCCCAGCTATACACGGCCTTTCCTTGCAAAGCTATAGAATTTACAAGGAAAGTCCTCAATTAACTTCTTATTTCGGTAGCTGTGACGTGACAATGAACATTTAGGGTTTTTCTTGTAAATTCTATACAGTAAAACCTCTCTATTGTGAACACCATCGGGACTTTTCAAAAAAGTTCAATACAGGGTGCTGTTCAGTTTAGAGAGATGATGCACGTTTTGCTGGGAAATGAAGAAAAGTTCTAGAATGTCTGCTTCTACACTAGTCCTAAATTAATTATGTTATTCATCTTTGAAAGTTAGCTCGTGTCGTGATATCATTCTTTTTTTCATACGTACAATAGTTAGTTTTAGTGCGTAAAGCGTAATTAGTATCAGTAAGACGCTCCGAATTCAAACGTCGAGCACTACTTTATTTTTCGCTCAAATATACTTCATTTGACGCAGAATTTTGCGTTGATCATGAATATCTTATTTAAAAGATTTTCAATGCACTTGTTAAAAATTCAAAACATTGAAAGCTGTCATTTTTCCGAAATTTCGTTACGTATAGAGAAGTGTATCTTGAGGTTCCAGAGCTACGAGAAGTGTTCGAACTTTGATCAAACTTTAGAGGTCTTTGACTTTGATACTCTCTGATTGCAAATCTATCAGCGATCTCATATCGAACGACAGAACCTTCATTTTTACACCATTCGAACAGTTATAGATTTAGTTTTTTAAGAAATGAAAAATTAGAAAAAAAGTCACTTGGCCGATTACAGGTGAAAACATGTCATTTTCAAAGAAAAAATATATTTCAGAGAAGAAAAAAAAATTAAAAAACTAAATCTATAACTTTTTTCTATGTTTCAAGGCTGTTCGAATGACGTAAAAATGAAGGTTCTATCGTTCGATATGAGATCGCTGATAGATCTGCAATCAGAGAGTAGCAAAATCAAAGACCTCTAAAGTTTGATCAAAGTTCGAACACTTCTCGTAGCTCTGAAACCTCAAAATACACTTCTCTATACGTAACGAAATTTCGGAAAAATGACAGCTTTCAATGTTTTGAATTTTTTCCTAGAACAAGTGCACTGAAAATCTTTTAAATAAGATATTCATGATCAACGCAAAATTCTGCGTCAAATGAAGTATATTTGAGCGAAAAATAAAGTAGTGCTCGATGTTTGAATTTGAAGCGCCTTACAAAAGGGACAGATGATAAACAGTAGAGAGAGAAGTATCGCACGTATGTTCACATTAGAGAGGTTATAAAAGCAAGAGGGACTGAAAAAATAGTGTTTACGTCCAGAATACAGAGGTGTTCACATTAGAGAGGTGCATTTTCAGCAGAAATTGCTCCGTCGGACCTGAGAGTTTGTTCGCTGAGGAGGTGATCACTAATAAAGGTTTTACTGTAACTTTGCAAAGAAAGATCATGTAGAGCTGGGAGACGTCTGATATTAATCAGAAATATACAGGCTACAGTTCTCCTTAAGAGATGTTATGTCTCTTTAAGAAATATTTTGGTTATCCTTTTAGAGTTTCTGAAAAAGTGGTTGTCAAGAAAACCGATTCTTCAAGAGTTATGGAGAAAATTCTTTTAGGTTTTTTACTAGCTAGCTCGATACTCTCTATCGATCAACGTATAAACGAACGAAATCGGAAGGTGTCACTTGGATAGGTTTCTTCGTGACCGAATTTGTTCAGAAGTGCTAGTCAGTATTCATTTTTGAGAAGGATTTCATCATTCCTCATACGTTAAGCGTTCGACACGAAGAAGTTGCATTTTTACGTCTTCACTTTTATTTTTTATAGATATGATTCGAAAACTAGAATACCTTTTCTTAGTGACTTCGAGAAAATTACTATTTTATTATTAAAAAATGACAGCAAATGAAGAAACTTATCTCAGACTTCATGTGGGAATTATTGGTGGTGGTGCTAGCGGTTTAGTAACGTGTAAAGAATTACTAGAAGAAGGTCATACATGTATGATATTTGAAAAATATGATTCAATTGGTGGTCTATTTTCTCACAGTGGTTATGAAGATGGTATGATGGTATCGAGTAATCTTATCACAATGTTTAGTGATTATGTTGGCAATGATGAAGATATATTAGAAAAGCCAAGAATGTTTTCATTTTTAGAATATGCTCAATATTTAAATGATTATGCTAAACATTTTAATTTATTACCATATATTCAATATCAGACATTTGTTCAATCAATATGGAAAGATATTGAATTAAATAAATGGAAAATGTATGTTAAAGATGATAAAAATGAGTATACAATTTATATATTTGATCGTATTGCAATATGTTGTGGAACACATCAATCAACAAATAAACCAATATTTAAAAATCAAGAAAAATTTCAAGGTAAAATAAAACATTCACATGATATTAAAATATTTGATAAAGAATTTTCAAATAAACGCGTATGTATTGTGGGGAGTGGTGAATCCGGTAGTGATATGATCTTAGCTGCAAGTAAATACAGTAAAAAATGTTATTTATCAATACGTCATGATCATGGTTTTATTATACCACGTTATATTTATGGTAAATATGGTCCAGGTGATTTAGATACAACACGTGTACATCATTCAATTCCTCGTGCTTGGGGAATATTTCATACATATATTGATATGTGGAATAGTCTTTTAAAATTATATATTAAATATTTATTTATTAATAAATGTAAATTTAGTCAAGATGATATAATTCGTCAAATGGGTATTCAAATGAATTTACAACAAATTAAAACAAGTAATCTATGGAATACATTTGGTACAAAAAATTCAAATTTAGTTAAAGCATTAATTAATTATGATTCAAAATGTCAACGAAAACCTGGTATATATGAATTAACATCAAATTCAATTATTTTTAATGATAATTCAATTGAAGAAATAGATGAAATTATTTGTTGTTCAGGATATAAAAGTTCATTTGATTTTTTAAAACAATCAAATAATGATAAATTAATACGTATTGCAAATGAAGCATGTATTTCACATAATTTATATAAACATTGTTTTCATCCTGATATTGAAAATGGTGAACTTATTTGGATTGGTTTTACTCGACCATGTTTTGGTGCTATACCACCATTAGCTGAATTACAAGCACGTTGGTTTGCATTATTATGTTCAAATAAATTAAAATTACCTAATAGAGAAATACAATTAAATCAAATAGAAAAATATGTTAAATATTTAAAATGGCAATTAACATCTTATCGTACAGAACGTATAACAAGTTTAACAGATTTTTTATTATATTCTGATGATATATCACGAATAATAAATTGTCGTCCAAATTTTATAAAAATATTTTTTACTGATTTAAAATTATGGTTAAAATTAATGTGTGGTCCATTAATGAATGCACATTATCGTTTAACTGGACCACATTCAAAACGAAAACAAGCTCGAAATATTATATTAAAAGCAAAATGGATTAAACAATCAAATCTTTTATATTTAACTATGCTTTTAATTTATTCATTCTTTTGGTTTGTATTCGGAATTGAATCATGTAAACCCAATGGATGGTATCAATTGTAAAATATACGTTCATTATGGCATGAAAATAATCTCAGTTTTTTTGTCTAATTTAACTGAATTTTCACATTAGACACTCTTACTTTTTGTTAGTTAGCTTTTTAGAGTCTGATAAATAATTCAAACTATCCATTTTGACTATTCACGAGTCAAAATGAATCTGTAGTGAAAATATGTCGTTTATCATGTTACGTCTATTTGGTATTCACATTGGCTAAAGCGTAAAACACATTGGACCAAATCCATCTTGTGCCTTAGAAGTTCAAGAAACAGCTGAGCTACTATCTATGTAAAAATATAGTCTACTTTGACAAATCACTAATAACTTTTCAGATTCAGAAACTAGATAGAATTTGCCACAAAACCATGTGATCAGTAGATTTTTCGAAAAGGTTTTCCTTGGAAAACCTGGCTTTGCAAAGTCGAAAAACCTCGATTTTGTTTTCTTTCCTACTAGATTAGTACTATCGGATGCACTGATTCCAAATCTGAAAGAATTGTTTGTCTGCCGTCTTTCATTTCGGAGATTCAGGCGTTTTCTGAGGACACACCTATGATGAGATTTTCACGCTTAGAGCAATAAACAAAATATGGAATGCAGTGTTATTTTACGTGCTGATCACCGTGGCAATGTTTATTTTGCTTCAAAAAATTATCTTTGAGAAATTTTGCCAAATGTTTTGGCTTTTTGTATCAAGCGTATTTCTCCTTCTTTTTCCTTAGCGTAAAAGTGAGTAAAAATATGGAATTACGCTCAGCTGATGAACAATGTCTTCTTTTGTCTGTGCTCTTCTGCCAGTAAACCGCTTCTTAGGTGTTACAGAAGAGTGAAATATAAATATTTGTCCGCTCGACTACAGATAGGAGGAAATAGCAACAAAAAGAAATAGAAACAGAGTATAAAGCAAAAGGACAAATAGTAACACAACAGCGCGAAAGTGAATGTACAGAGAACTAGGCATTGACATTCGGTTAATACCTAACAAGCTGTTTATTGGTAGAAGAGAACAGACAAAAGAACACATCGTTCATCAGCAGAGCGTAATTCCATATTTTTACTCACTTTTACGCTAAGGAAAAAGAAGGAGATGATACAAAAAGTCAAAACATTTGGCAAAATTTCTCAAAGATAATTCTTTGAAGCAAAATAAACATTGCCACGGTGATCAGCACGTAAAATAACACTACATTCCATATTTTGTTTATTGCTCTAAGCGTGAAAATCTCATCATAGGTGTGTCCTCAGAAAACGCCTGAATCTCCGAAATGAAAGACGGCAGACAAACAATTCTTTCAGATTTGGAATCAGTGCATCCGATAGTACTAATCTAGTAGGAAAGAAAAAAAATCGAGGTTTTTCGGCTTGCAAAGCATAGTGTATAAAGGAATGCAGCGTCGTTTACAACAGGAGGCTATTTCGAGTTCTTCAACGTATTTTGTGTGAGAGATGTAAACTTTTTAGGATTTGTCATCTTACGATTTTCAGCATTTTTCGAAGTCAAGATTCAGGTTATATATCGTGTATCGACGTTGTTGGTTCCTAAAACAGAGAAAAAGAACTTTAGTTTGCCAGTGAGAAGATTTGTAGACCGACTAAAAGCCGTTCAAAAGTCATTGATTTCCATTGCATGAAATAATTATTCACCTCTTCGTCGATATGAATAGTATGAGGCCATGATTCGTCAAATGTACGAAATAATAATGTAGTAAATACTAGTGGATTTACGAGGTCATGACAAATCTCAATATGTAATATATTCATTTTTGTTATTATCTGATTCTCTGATCATCTGTCGTATACCCATATGTGTTTAGAGCATTACTTTCAGAAAATCTTTTAAAATTTTACACATCTACTCAAATTATTTATTTGATTCTCTGATTTGTTCTTTAAATCTGTATACGTATGTTCACGTTTGAATATTCTCTATATATGTGCGTTAGTTCTAAGTATTCGCAAACAAAGTGAATTCACCAAAATTTGAGTAGAACTATTCTTGTTACATTTTTATGATCTATGAAATGTGCTATATGGTTATGGTTAAAAAATTGGCTCTCACACCGCACAGCCTACATCTCATTCAGTGGTATGAAATCAGCAATATTTAACATTGAATGGGGATTGCCTCAGAGCTCCATAATCTTTCCCTTAATATATATTCTATATATTGCCGATCTTGTGAAAATTCAGGAACCAGTTCGAGACGACTGGAATCTGTTCTTTTCAGTTCCTTTTCGGCTTTCTTGCCAAGATTTTTGTCTGCTATTACAACATCACGCTCAACAGGCTTTAAATAATATAAAACTGTATTGTGACTACTGGTTGATTGAACTACGTGTGACAAAAACTGTTGCTATGTTAGTATATGCACAAGTACAAATAAACACCTTAACATTAAACTATAATGGACACCAGATAAAATTTGTTTACAAATCTTGGTTATTTTGATGACATGTAAATTGGATTTCGGTGAATTTTTAAATCTTGAATGTTTGAATATATCATCATCTTTTCGAATAGTTTCCTCATTTTTTGTTCATTCATCAATTTTCCATCCAATTTCGCCGGCGAGCTTTTTTCAGTTACGTATATCCTTATTTTCTTTGGATCATCGTCATCTTTTTCTATTTAACACCACGTCACCAAGAACGAGTTTGCAGCTTATATGCTTATTATTTAAAAAAAGATTACGGGTGTTATTATTTAGATAAGCGTTTCTTTTTCTTAGTTTCGGGCGAACGAACTTTTTTGAACCGTGTATTTTCTTATTGGCATAAATATCTATCCGTTCTTATGCATCAGATTGATACATTGGCTCTAGCTGAAACTTGGCATTTGCATAATCGTCTAAAAAACAGGAACACAAGCAATCAGCAAAAGCTTTTATTACTCTCGCGATATCGACACATTTTCTCTCTTGCTGCAAATTTTCTTATATCACATCGGAACTCATTTGACTATTTTCGTCGATGTCTTCAAGCCACAGTAATTTAAAATTATTTCTTTTCTATCCTCAAGCTTGCATCTTTGGCTTACTTCATCTCATCATTTGACATTTTATCTATTTTTGTTACCGAATATTGGCTCGATCAGCTTTGACATCGAGTTTTTTTTGTATGTATTGTCCTTCTTTTGCTAATAAACAAGAACAACCAGTCGTTGCATGACATTCATTAATCATCAAAACATCGTCGCGCATATATGATAAAAAGATTCTCTAGCGTTAGCATTTCCCAAAAGTTTAGCTAGCATCTGCGCATTTTGCACACTGAGTTATAAATTCAATATTTCGCAAAGAATTGATCAAAATCTTTGCGCCTACTTCAAGTGTTCAGTGAAAGTAGCCCCTCGACGGTGAGATTCCAAATCGCTTCCTTAACGAATTTACTAGCTACCGAACAGCTATTGGCTGGTTTTTGCAGATCCTGAATGAAAAAACTTCATAAGCTCCTATTCTTGTTTTAAAGTGCGCATAATATTTGAAAGTTACTGTCAAAATTCAGCGCATAGAGAAGCAAAAATTTTTCGATGAAAACTGGTTTTCGTTATAACCATAGAAATGGATATTAGTAATGGCCGCTTGGAACAGCGAAGAGTCTAGCATTTATGCCGAGCCATAATGGTCTAACGAGACACTCATCACGGTTTAGGAGCACAATGAGACAGGACAAGATTTTTCAAAGAAATAACATGAGAGAAGTGAAAGTCTTATCAAGACATTACTGTCAGATAAAATTCGGCTCATCGAGTTTCACTAGAAATTTAGTAATCGCTACCTTCTACATTAACTAGTAAACCTATCGGGTAAACGTGGAGATCATCGACTAAAATGTCATTTTAATAAACCATAAAACAAGCAGGAAGTTTTTTTTCAGGCATTCTGTGTATTTCTCTGACAATGAATTGTGAAATTCCGAGAATAAAAAGCTTTTTCCTGTTCAATAAGACTTATGTCGAAAAACACCGACCGTTAGCATTAGCTCCAAGTGTCTTATTTCAAAAAAACATTTGGCTTTATATGTCTTAAGATGATCGAATGGTATTACAGACGCGTAGTCGACTATGTCATTTGACAAACTGCAAAACTACTGTGCAATATGAAATTAACGAGTGGACAGATGTTAGGGCATTTATCTTCTAATTAGAAAACACGAAATCGGAAGAAATGTTTCACAACCTAAATTTAATGAGCTTTAAACCAATCTTTGAAAAACAAACATTATGTTTGAACGAGAAAAAATGTTCCATATTTTCTTATCTTAATGGTAACTGTTACACATTAAAAGATAAACATTTTCTCGCATTGCAAGCGTGCAAGTTTACTGTACTTTTTACAAGAAAAGGAGAAATGGATCGGTGATGAGAAAACAAAGAACGGAAAGAAAAGCACCCATGGCGTCATTTTCTGCTACAAAAACGCGTTATGTGCGTTATGTGCGTTAGTTCCTAACGCGTTGGTTTTGCACCATTTTTGTGGTAGAAACGCGTTAGAAATGAACGCGTTTAGATGCGTCTAATTTAACATCGATTAAACGCGTTACTAACTAACGCGTCAAACGCGTCGGTTCTGCACCATTTTTATG